ATTGATAGCATGTGAACATGTTCATATGTTATCAATTACAACGTTGAAATCAATTGATTTGTTGGTGGAAAAAAACAAGAGCAATTAAGCAATGCCCAAAAACGAAAGGTAAGATGCAATTCACACAATATTTGTCAAATATAGAAGATACAGTGCGATTAACATGTCGTTAAATAATTACATAGAATTGTTGGTCTGCTGTGTAAGACTTTTGCCACCCTTAACTCAAAATCATCGAAATGAAAAAAATGCCTTGATTTTGTCACTGCTTTATTAATAATTTTGCAAATAATATTCAAATCATTGTGGTAGGTAAAATTTATCAAACATTGATCGAATTAAAAATAATTTCATTACAAAAGGATTTATTTATTTTATTCACACTGCCTCTGTAGTGTGCATTTTTTTAGTTGCCAATTATTACTAATTTATTTATTTTGGCCAACCCACTCAATTAATCAAAGTGTTGATTATTTTTAGTGATTGATGAATATTCGTGTGTGTGTCACATCCCAACCGTTGGCTGTTCCAAATCATTTCGAAATTTTTTCATAAAATATAAGTCAACACGTCATTGTTATTGGACCCAAAAATATATTTAAAAAATTAATTTAAAATGAACTTGTTCGATGTTATACCTTTGAAAGGCGTTCATTTTATTTTCGAAAATTCTTTCTCTCCAATGATAAGGTTATCAGGTAAATGAATTGAATATTGAATATAAAAATGCTTGCCTTATCAATTCTTCATTACAGAAGCACTTGTTTTTATTCAAAAAATTCATCGGTTCTATTCATCGCACTTTTCTTTGGTGAACGTTTTGTCGTCAATTATGGTGTACTTATACTCAATGAAGCAGCGGACTTGTCGGCATACTCGTGGATTCAGCATTTCACTTGCTTTGGCGATTCGTGAGTTGCCGAAGCATCATATATGCAGTGCACTCGATATTTAACGTGAAAACCTATATTCGATACATCGAAGTTGGCCGAGGTATGATTTCGTTTGCGCGTAGCGCGTAAGCAATTCACTTGCGATATATAGTAAATAGGGATTCACGTTATATCGCAAGTGAATTGCTTACGCGCTACGCGCAAACGAAATCATACCTCGGCCAACTTCGATGTATCGAATATAGGTTTTCACGTTAAATATCGAGTGCACTGCATATATGATGCTTCAGCAACTCACGAATCGCCAAAGCAAGTGAAATGCTAAATCCACGAGTGTGCCGACAAGTCCGCTGCTTCATTGAGTACCGTTGGTATTGTGCCGGTTCTCGTAACATTGTGGTGCGTGCAATGAAATGCATGTCAGACATGACTTCGGGGATATTTTCTATATCAGCCATTTCTGCCAATTGATCGAAATACTCTTTCTGCTCCGGGCCCAGAAAATGGGTAAGTCGCTTGCGATAACCCTTTTTATAGTGATTTTGCAGTTGTGTCTGCATGTCCTTCAGCATTTCAGATTTTGGTGGCAGTATCTTTTCTCCAGAAAGGAATTTTATCACGAATCGCATCTTTTTAATGAGAAAAAAATTCTTCAGTGCGTGTTTTTGCTTCCAAGGTCTTTTTTGAGTTTTCTATTGTAATTGTTGAAATGCTCCCGAAATTCCGATTGAAAAACCCGAAAAAAAACATCGGAAGCAATTCCAACATCGTCTTTGATGTCTATTTTTATAGTTACCTGAATATCATACACTCGAATGGTGCAAGCAGTGAATGGTACGCCAATGAACGCCATTGTTGGATGTTCAATGTTGAAAATTTGCTTGTAAAGCGGCGTAACACAATTTTCGTTAACGTTTATTCCAGTGTTAACACTTAGAAACGGATATGAAAAATTGTATCCTGAAGAAAATCGCAAAAAATTCTTTATTTTCCAATTTTTTTCCGCAAAAATATTGAATTGAAATAAAATTATTTTGAAAATTATGAATGGAGTCGTTATCTAGTGTATCTGTAGGCTTTAAAGAATCCTTGCAGAATATCGAAGATTTTACCGCACATGTCATTGTTGTATTTAGAATCAAAATTTTAGACATTTAGTATATTTACCTGTTGCAAAAATTACTACGGAGAAATTTTGGTGTGAACCATCGATAAATTCAGCTCCAGTTGGTGTTAAACTTTTGACATTGTCTTGTAGCAAAACATTTCTTGGCAATGAACGTTGACGTTTTTCGTGTTCCTCTTTCGTTTCATTTTGACGCTTATTCTGACTGAAGGTGATTCGCTGGGCAGTTTTCGAGAGGTGATTCACCATATCCAGTCCACTAGCTCCGCTTCCGATTAAGAGGACACTTTCATCTTTTTGTATTATTCAAAATTAACACACAAAAAATGCCGCAAACATTTAAAATTTGAAACAGTAATGCGTTAAATCAAGGCTTTAATTTTCTTCATCGCCCATTGTCTAACAAGTGTGATAAGTCACCCTTATCTACCAAAAAATCGAACATGTTTTCATGGAATATCAAACACGCAGTACAAAATGGATGAGAATGGTTAGAGAAGCAAAAAAAAAACTATCCTAAAGCTTGTAAATCAGAGTTTAAAAACAACAGTCAATTTCATTCATTTAATTGCTAGAATGCAAAAAAATTTCTCACCACGAAATGTTTCCGCCGTACGATAATCATGACTATGAAGCGATTTGCCTTGGAATTCGTTTGGAATGCTTGGATAGCGGAGGGAAGAGAATCGACCAGTGCACACGAAAACGACATCATAAATCAACGTTATGAATTTGTCATTGGGCAAATCCTTGACAATCACTTGCCATTTACCATTTTCGATTGGAAGAACTCGAATGATTAAATGGCTGAATTTGATGTGATTTTTTATATCGAATCTTTCGGCATATGATTGAAGATAATTCAACACAACTGGCTGCGATGGATACGAAATGGTCTCTTTTGGGTAAGGGAAATCGGGAAACTCCATCAGTTGATACGGTAAATTTGTTCTGATTGGAAGAAAAAAAAAACTTTGCCAGTATTTCTTGGTTAACTTTGAAAAAATCTTTTTTGTTGTGATTTTGTTCAGGCTTCAATAGAAAATTCTGATTGAAATTGACGGTGATTCATCAACATTTCTTTGGCGATAATTTTATCAACATCGCTTACCTTAAACCTTGATACATTGGCGAATGAATGTTATTGCCGTATTGATCTTTGTCCGTTTCGTCGGTATACCACCAAATTCCTCCAATCTGTTCAGTATGCTCGTAAACCGTCACATTATATCCCTGGTCAAGTGCATATTTTGCACTAGTAATGCCCGATGCTCCGGCTCCTATGATGGCAATGTTCAAAATCGTCGTCCCATTCTGGGTTGAGGAGTAAACTTGACAAATAGCAAATAGTTCCAAAAATTTTCCGTAATAAATTGGCCGAAAAATTGATAACTTTACCATTTTCAAACACTTTATTCGACACAATATGTTATTTGCCCTGTGACAGGTTGACTTTGTCCCACACTGTCTTTCATCTGCCACTGACTGTGCACGACTGAATTCACTGATAAAACATTCAATTGAAAGTTGATTGTCAGCAAGACTGTCGTCATTAATCGCAGAGAAATGCTCATTTTCGAATGAGATTAATAATATATATATTATTAGCGACTGATATTAGTCGGATTTTCTCTCAAAGATTGAGCTTTGAGTTAAAATTTCGCCAACGATCAAGTGCTTATTGCTAATATTACCAATGCGTTTAACATTTTTCTGGTTTTATTTAGTGGCCACACTTATTGAATCAAACGAAAAAAAACTAACAAAATCAAGGTGAAAACATGAAATGACCAACTAAGATTCGCCATGTTGAAAGTTCATTTTTGAAGGCACTTAGTTTCGATGGTCTAACTAGTCAGTAGTAGTATTTTTTGTTACAATTTATTAGTTTGAACACCCACCACCTGCATGCACAATACAAATTAAAGGAGCTACGCTAAATTTGCTTCGATCCAACTATGATAGTAGGATATTTTCACAAAACCGTCTGGAGCTTTCCCTGAGGCACAGGGACTGTAAAATAATATCACACATAATTAAAAGCAAATCAAAATGAAATGTACATTCAACACCATGTAACATAACGTCAACTTACATTCTCACAAAGCTAGCCAGTCCAACGAGTCTATCACCCCAGACAACAGGACCACCGGAGTCACCCTTTGATAAAAAAAATTCGTTGTTAAACAAGAAGTCATTGGTATTTTTCGCGCAAAAAATATTTTCTTACGTTACATATTCCTTCACCACGTTTACTTAGTAAACGTGGTGAAGAACACATGTAAGCAGAATAGCATTTTGCAATGAGCATTCGATTTTTTCGAATAGAACAGAGGCTAGAGCGACTACACAAAATTATTGTGCATGTTTTGGATTCGCTACCTATTAAAAATTTTGGGGAAAAACAAATTTAATGAATTAAGAGCAATGCTATAAAATCGGAGTGAAATGTTTTTCTATTCAATTTACCTCGGAAGATACTGAATCGTTGTTTACCGAATTCCTGCTCTTTGAATGATGCGTAATTACCCAACATACTGCCATTGAAGTCTTGAAACGAGAGAATAAAAGAACCACCGCATTCGTACATCATACGTTCCAAATCCTCTTCAGGTACAAGACGAGCGCAGAAAATACCGCGAGCTGTAAAATAATGCGTAGCGTAGTCACCAATCGACAATTTTGATAACACAATTTTAGCACCAGAGTCAACGATCTTTTCGCAATTGCAACCATTTTCGAAAAGTATTCCTTTTGCTGATCGCTGAGCTCCGAATTCAAAGCGGCAGCTACACATTTCTTCATCAATTCAAGTTGTTCCTCTTGATTGTCACAGATTTCCTTGTAGGGCACAGCCAAATTACCAATTTTTGCCGAACATAGCCGTATCGCTTCACGTATAGTAATTTCCCAAGTGAGTGCACGCAACACTCGGCCGAAAGTCCCTTCGCCATTTACTGCCACTAGATCGTATTCATTGGATTCACCGTTGATACACACTAATTTGGTGATACTATCATTATCCAACCTCTGAACATCCGGTAAATGACCTAATGTGATTTCAAGTGCGCCGGCATAAGAACTCCTTCTTCAATCATAAGTTGACGGTAGGAGTATAACCTTCCGCCGGGCAGAGTGTAGAGCAAGTCTCCGGCGAAACATATATTCAACCGGTCCTCCTTCCGCTCGATCATCCGATACACTGCGATCATGGAGTGTTCCAAATGAACATATAAATAAATTGTATTGATATTGGAAGTTTTTAAACCACGAGACCATGTCTTCCTTGTCGGATACGAACGAGCCATAGATAAACATCTTCAATTCGTATGGTTTGACATTTTTAATGTCAGTCGTCAAGTGCCGTACCTCTACCTTCGGGAGAACAATTTTTGCCCGGCGGCTCCAATCCAAAAATGAGATTTCATGTGCACCGTCGGGATAAATATGTTTGACCATTATCCTCCACCATTTCACACTTCTTCTTTTGTCCGTGTGGAACTCGATGGCGTAGACCTCATCACGTTGCATGCTTGTTGCATTTGATGACGCACGTGCCGCTTCGCCCACATTGTGGCCAAACCAATCCAGATTTTTTTCCTTCGGCTCTCGGCGGCATATTATGAAATTTTTCGTGCTTTCCCATCGAATTGACTTCAATACCTCTACCTTGATTGGTGTCAAATCGGCCATAGCTAAAAATGACAATCAAAAATCACTGAGCTTTTTACTCGTTCACATACAGTCATGGAAATTTAATTAGGACCGGCATTGAAATTTCAGTTTTTTTCCCATTAATTCTGTTATTTTACAAAAAAATATTCATGAAATGATGTTTATGAGAATATTTGAAGTTTTTATAAATGGACTAGACTATCAATTTCATTATTTTCGGTAATGGATATCATTTATTGATGAAATTGCCCAAAAACTGCGGGAAAAATAATTAAGACCTTCCATACAAAAAATGACAAAATTTTTCGAAAAATCGGAAAATTTATCATTTGTTTGACAAAATTCACTCCACCGAAGGTCGTATTTAATTGAAATACATTTTTTCCACATTACCATTTAATAGATTTCAAATTTCTTAAAAAAATCGAAAAGTTACAGACCAAACTATGATTCTTCCACGATTTTTCATACAAAAAATGCTATAAAGTTTAGTTTGGTCTGTAACTTTTCGAATTTGTTAAGAAATTTGAAATCTATGTACAAAAAATGGATCCATCAATGATCGAAGGAAAATGTCTTTTACATTCTGCATCCGAAACAGCATATACCTTGAACTGTTGTAGATGCTCTGGAGATTCATTCTTTTTCATTTAGTTTTTTCTCTTTCAAATGAGAAGAATTCTCTTTACTCACTCCAACTCTTCCCCAACCAGTAACCAATAGTTCTGTTCCAGGCGGTACTGGCCTAGTTTCCAACTTAATTGGTTTAACTTTTTCATTAAAATGAATCTCTCCTTGGACACGAACCAAACCAATATCATCACTTTGCCACCCTCCCGAATGTTCAATTTCTTTTTCTATATCAAGGACTTGACCACCTCTTCTTGTTCGATCCAACTCTTATTTGTATTGCGATGGCGAAACTGTGTTTATATTTCGATACGATAAATTGAATTCATTTTGAGATTCATTAAAAGAGTTTCCTTTTACCCCATACAATGCGCAGCCGAAAGAACGTATTTTTGACTAATGATCGCACAGCCACATATATGTTGTGAATCCCGTTTTCTCTGTAGAGAGCATTGATATGGTGCCTGGCCATCATAAGCGTTTGATCCGCCCACGATAAACAGTGAACTATCTACATGTAGTATTAGAATGTGATGGATCCTTCTAATATCTTACTAGCAAAGGGTTAGTTGAAGAAAACCACACGTTACACATGCAACCACATACCTTCAGCACCGTCCCCTAAGTTACATGATATCGACTTCAAAATGCACACAAAAATTAGCAACTTTAATTTCATTCTATATGAGTAAATCAAGCGATTTGTAATGCAATTGATTTCAGAAAAAGTACTGAAATCTCTCTCGTACATTCGTTAACTTAAATCAAACCAGCGCAAGTTCAATTAGATTTTGTCGAATAGGTGAAACGAAAATGCTGTAAATCAATTTGGAATCGGCTGAATGTGGCGAAATTTTCTAAAGTGTAAAACCGCTTATTATCATTTCCTCCTATCGATATTTCTTTTGCTGTTGTTTTCTGTTGAAATTCTGTTTAATTTGATTTGAAAACGTGAAATTCGCAAATATGAAACACCGTCTTGATCTAGTCGACGGAATGGAAGCAATTTTCGTCAATTTTGTCTGGCACATTCACAAAGATACTTGGAAAAACATAGGCCCAAAGATGGTTTCATAACCTGGAAAGGTCGGAATAAGCTTAAATGCGTAGCTTGCGGTTAAAAGTCAATGACCTTCTTCAAATGTGTGCATTTATATCGATTCGGCATAATATGAAAATAATTGCAAACATTCGCAGAAAATGAATAAGTTTATTTTTGTGTGTGGACTGGCCGCAAAAAGATCAGTCAAATATTTGCGATGAACATCTACTTGACCAAATTGTCAAAAGTAAACACTAAAAATAATGAGAACAAAAAAATGAGTTCAGCTTGCATGCTATTTAAGAATGTTTGAAATCGCATCGTTTAGTCGAATTTTATCAATAAAGTCATCAATTGGATTGTCAATAAAAATGTGAAAAAAACTCATGGTTTTGAGTTTTATCATTCAGTGCACTGTGAGCATTTTATTAAAAATTTCATCTAATTCTTTGAATGAAAAAATATAACATTTTTAACTTCATTTTTAAGATTGGTTACACAATCACGGCGATCGCGGCACCTGTGGCCAGTCTTGGATTTGCACCAATTTGGGATGTTTGCACACAAAGTCTATATTACGTTGACTATATCGCAACTGGTCAGAATTTATCAATTTTTCGATATGATTACAATGAGAACCGTGTGTATGGGGCTTACATAGCCGGCGAAATGGCACCTCCATCATTCATTCTGCCAATCAAAGAATGCAACAAATACAAAAATCTCTTTACCGTTGGTATGAGTCATGACACCGGCCTTGTTGAATGGGATGGAAAGTCAACCGTTGCCAAATACGTCAGTACACTAATTAGTGTTGAACAATTTGATCGAACCAGCCATTGGTGTGTAGCAAAGCAAAACCAACGTGGTCACTTTTATGGTGGAACAGCTTTTACAACATTCTGTAATGCACCATCAAATGCATCGCTTTATATGTACTCATCTGATGAAGGCGTCATACGTCTATTCGGAGGTTTGATGTCAACCACAGGACTGGCCTATGATCGAAATCATTTGTATCATGTGGACGCTTGCACAAATATCATCACGGCATTCGATGCCACCGAATGCGGTGATATCTGTAACGGTCGTCTGGTTTATGACTTCAAAAACTTGGGTAATATTTTGTTGAATCTTTATTTTGCAGATGTCACTGGCTTTTCTTTGCATATTTTTAGGTTTTGGTTTACCAGATTTCGTTTTGGTTGGCTTAGATATAGACACAGAAGGTTTTCTATACACTACAAATTATGCAGGGAATGAGATTTGGAAAATTGATACAAGGTAAAAAAAAAGTGGCATGAAACAACAATAGTGTTACAATTTCGATAACAAATTGTCATTGCGACAGTTGAACAAAAAGTTTTATTTTTGCTTAAATGTGAAAAAGAATTAAAGATTTATCATTCTCTCTTAGAACATTTTCTGCTATTCCAATTGTACGAATGCCTTACAAAGGTATCGGCGGAGCAACATTTGGTGGACCCAAGAGAGATATCCTATTTGTTGTAACGGTACAGGCACGTGTTAATGTGCTATTAGCACAAATTACAGATCGTACAGCAGTCCCTACTTCTCTCTACAAAATTACTGATCTCGGCGCAAAAGGTCGTAAATCATCACGTTTGAAAATTTAGAGCATGTTGTAAGCCCATGGAAATTTGGTTCAGATTTTAAGAATGAACTAAATTTCAATGAAATTTGAAATTTTTTTAGTTTCTCACTCCAGTTCTCTTTATTTTAAATAAATCCAAAAGGGTAATAAAATGTGAATATTTATATTTTTTTTACTTCAATCAAGAATTATTGAATGAAATTTATTTTCAAGCGATTGCCATGAACATTTTTTGCTCTATGTTTCTGTTCTGTTTGTCTCTAAAATCTACATCTTTCATGAAAAAAGAAAAGAAAAGGAAACGCCATTGTTACAGTTCAAACCACATAGAAACGCAGTACACGATGAGGTCTTATCGTGAATTAGCGAAAAATGAAAAAGAATTGTTTTGTTCCCTTTAAAACATGACGGCTCTTTGTAATATTTTCTACAGAAAGTCCTAATTGAGCGATATAATCTTGGATATACTTACTTTTTTATTTAATAATAATAAAATATGATTGATCCAGTCAATATAATCAAATTTAAAATTTGAGCCGTTTGACTTTGTGAATATTCACATTAGTGTCTTCGATTCTCACGCCATAATTGAGAGTAAATAATGACACACATATTGATTTTTTTTTATGCAATACGGCAACAAACAAGCGTCGTTGAAATGATAAATACTATTTGCATTGAACTGGCCGCAAAAAAATTAATCAAACATTTGTGCTAAACATGTGCTTGACCAAAATATAAAAAATAAAACACATAAGAATACAATAATTGGTTCAATTATAGAATATTTAAAAGCATTTGATGTTTAAATCTCGTCATTTAAACGAATTCAACTAATAGAATAGCTTCCGAATAATAATACTGAGTTTCAATAGAAAAAATAACATTAGTTCATTAAAAATGTGGAAAAGTATAGCAGTTCTTAGTGTGTTTCTTCAGTGCACATATGCAGTGAGTACAATTCTAAAGCTTAGGCCATTTTTCTACTAAAAATCAAAGTTTTTCAAAATATTTCATTTCCTCCTGAACACTTCGTTATGCTTTTTGGCGATTTATTCTTTAATTTTCCTTAAAAGTGATCAATCTGATAAAAATGAGTCTAATTTTCTAGTCTGGTATCGAAATTACTTCAATCCCCGCACCGTTTGCCGGCATCGGATTTGCAACCATTTTGGATGATTGCACACAAAGTCTGTACTACGTTGACTACATCTCGACTGGTCAGAATTTATCAATTTTTCGATACGGTTTCAATGAAGATCGTGGCTATGGAGCTTACATAGTTGGTGTGATCACGTCACCGTCTTTTATTTTACCGATCAAAGACTGTAAAAAATACAAAAATCTGTTTGCGATCGGCGTGGATCATGATGTAATCATTGTTGAATGGGATGGAAAGTCACCAGCTGCAAAAGTCAGTACACTATTTAGTGTTGAACAATTTGATCAGAACAGTCGTTGGTGTTTGGCAAAGCAAAGCAAACGCGGCCACTTTTATGGTGGATCCAATCATGTTACGTTCTGTAACTCACCAAAAAATGCATCACTTTACATGTACACGCCTGAAAAAGGTGTCACACGTCTCTTTGGTGGTATGATTTCAACCACGGGACTAGCCTATGATCACGAACATCTCTATCATGTGGACGCTTGCACAAATCTTATCACTGCTTTCCATGCTACGACATGCGGCGATATTTGTAAGAAAAAAAATTGAAAATATCTCGTTTTATTTCGATCGATTGGATTTCGGTCAAACCTTATGCCAAACATGAAATATTTAGTTCGAATACTTTCATATTTTGATTTCAGGCAACGGCCGACTGCTTTATGACTTCAACAGTTTAGGTAATTTTGACGATTTTAATTTGGATTTCAGACTATAATATCCATTTAAGAAGAATGAAATTGACTTGCTACGTTGTAAATGACTTTTTACATGGAAAAGAATGAACGCGAATTTCATTGACATTTATTGAAATATCTTCAGGATTAAATGTGTCGAACTCTGTTCCGGTTGGCTTGGACATGGACACCGATGGATTTTTATACACTGGAAATTATGCAGGAAATCAGATTTGGAAAATTGATACAAGGTAAAAAGCTTCATGGTTTCATAAGCGACAATCGATTTACGATAAATTACTGTTACGAAATTTGAAAAAAAAATCGAGTGACCGTCATAATCTTCCATACGAACAAAATGTGTATGTTCAAAAATATTAATAATACACAGTTGTTTGTCCGCCTGGGAGATTATGACTGTCACCCAAAAATCGAAAGTAAATTTTTACTTTGCTCTTTCAGAACATCGTCTGCCATTCCAATTGCACAAATGCCTTTCGACGGAATTGGTGGTTTAGCATTTGGTGGCCCTGATGGAGACGACCTATTTGTTACGACAGTAAAGTCATATGTCGATGTAATATTGGCTAGAGTTTTGAAGACTTCTCCAGTCATGACCTCCCTCTATAAGATTACTGGTCTTGGAGCAAAAGCCCGTGGATCTTCACGTCTTAAACTTTATAATTTAAAGAACTGATTGCATTCGAAGTTTGAACGCAATTAAGCGTTGATTGAACAGAATAAAGTGCGATTGAATTGAAAACAACAAAATAATAAATTGAAAAATAAAAAAAAAATTAAAAATTTATCATTTGAAATTGGACTTTTATTTCGGTTGACCTCTTTTACGTTAGAAAGATATAGGTTCCGTTTTTTCTTCTGTAACGGAGTTCTTTCTTTCTTTATTTCTTCCTTCATTCTTTATTTGTTATTCAATTTATCATGAAGCAGAGATTAGTCGGAATGAAACACATTACATCTTAGTTGTAACAAAAAAGTAAGTGTTTTTGAATTGAATCATAGTAATAAAGTATATAAATCAACCTCTGAATTGGGTTTAGCCTATGAAATAAACATTCTGTTCATTAATTTTCAAACTGAACGAATGAGTCTTTGAACATGAACAAATTTAAATGAAAAGTTTTCATTGGACAATGAACATTTTTCAATGAATGCAAGTTTGCAAATTATCCTTCGAACAATTCAAGATTATCATTAATTTACAGAGATTGCATATTTGCTGCTGAGTAGGCCTGAGCTGAGCTGAGCTGAATTTGCTAACTCAGGCGCCTGAAGCGGTATTTTAACGCACTTACGGTGCAAAATTGTTGTGGATCGCTGGAATCCACCCAAATATAATTGATAAACATCGTGAATTCCACCGGTCCACAACAATTTTTCACCGTTCCACGCTGTTTATCAATTAAAATTGGGTGGATTTCAGCGATCCACAACAATTTTGCACCAGAAGTGCGCTAAAATACCGCTTCAGGTGCCTGAGTTAGCAAATTCAGCTCAGCTCAAGCCTACTCAGCAGCAAATATGCAATCTCTGTTAATTTAAATATTCTTCAATGAACAATTGAATTTTTTTTTCTCAATAAACAATGAATTTGTTTGGCATTGATGCAAAGAACAATGTTTCTTGGTGGTGTTCTAAATGTGTCTTGTGTTCTTACAAAATGGTACTATTTTCTAAAATGTTCAACATCATTTTTAACTTAAAACTAATACAAAATTTCTTTTCAACTGAAACTTTTCAACTAGTCATGATTTGAATCGATCCGAATTAGTCCGAATCGATCTTTCGGATCAACCAAAAAAGGTTGTTAGCGATTAAAGTAAAGTGCGCAGACGATTCCGTATCGGTCATGGAATTGAACTGTGATATCATCAATGTGTTTGACGGTTTGTTCGTAGATGTTGGTTTTCAGGAACATTTTGTTGAATGCGTGCTCAAGGCGAATTTCGTACACAAACCCAGGCCTAACTTGAATTGGCTTGGTGAGCATGTAGTGTGCTTCAAAATCTTTGAGTGTGACATTTGCATTGGTGAGAACGGTTCCATGCGATGATTTCGAATCGTCACTTCCATACGGTTTTTCGATGATTTTCAATTTACTCTTTGGGATCCCAAAGCCATCGTATTGGCTTTTCATTGGTGCACAAGCGAATTCACCAAACAAAAGTGGTTTTGTCACGCTGAACGTTGTCTTTTCCACATTCTCAACGTGCAAACGTTGTACAAACGGTCCCTTCACTTGACTCGGTTCCAATTTACACTTCAACAGGACACTTGGATCACGACTGAATGTGGTTGGCAATCGAATTTTACCGCTAAATATTTTCGTTTTGTAGTCATTCGAACGCATCATTTGGATGATCTCTTCGAGTTCTTCAGCTGTAAACAATCCGGGTGCTGTTGTCAGTAGGATGGAGAACTCATCAAATGTCATCGATCGAAAGCGAATTTGATACAAAACATAACCCAATTGTTCACGCAAATGTTTACCATCGTTTACATCCAAGCGTTCACGTTCGCAAGCGGCTTTGGCCCATGTGATGCACGCATTGAACACCGTGGCTTCGTTGCATGACAAACGGTCCAATTGCAGAATACAGCACAATGTCGAACGTGGACATGCAAAAAAGTCATCGGATTTGAACACATCGTCGGTGTGCCAAATGAATTGGTTTTCACACAAATTCTTCAGATCATTTTGTCCGGTGAATATTGCCAACTGATATCCCCAGCACACTTTGCTCTTTTCGAAATGTTCTCGTAGCAATGTGGCAAAAATACCACCACATTCCGCAATTTGGTACTTTTGCACCAGATCCATAACTTGTGGCGCATTTTTCACGGTCAACTGGACATGGTCGAAGTATAACAGCTGGAGAAACTCTTTGAATGCCTCGGCAGACGCTACATCGATTCGGTACAACGCTTTCTCTTCCTTTGATGAACCACAGAATATTGACTTGAACACTTCACTGCTCATCATCAGCACAAACTTGTGAGCCGGTACTCGTTCACAGTCACCCGATTCGGTGTTACATTCGAAGAAAATGTCAGCGGTGTCCGAGTTTAGATATTGGTGCTGCAAATGCGATGATAGCTTGATCCGCTTTGACATCGTGATGTGATATTGTTCACTTGGGAATGAATCTGAAATTGGCAAAAGGATGAGAAAAGAATGAATTTGATGCTTTGGCTTGAAGATGGCTTTGGAATGGTGCGAATGTTGCTCTATCTGTCTCACTCACGAAAATTCTCCTCTTTTTATAAGAGAAAATGGGTTTTTGGAGAAAATTCGGACAAAAATTGTACAGGCACTGCTTATTAAGTAGTGTTGGCTCAACACACGAAAAAGATTCACAAACATGCTTGAAAAACCCAATAAAAGAATCCAATTTGTCTCTTACCGTCAACAACACAGTAGCTATTTTGCCAGTTCTACTTTGTTTGAGCTCAATTTGACTTTGAGGTTAAATATTTGGTGGTTTTGTCACAATCTACAATTGTTGTGGAATAGGCGCGAATCGGTGGTTCGATGTAACTTTTGCTCACTCGTTGGACCAAAACTGTTCCGATATTACGATTTTAACTGGATTTAAACACAAAATTATGATTAGTTTGATCTACCAAAGGGCCATGGATTTGAAATTGTACGGAAGAATGATATTAAACTGTTCACTTTCACAAATCCATTCAAGAATTAAATTTTTTTTAGTCAATTCAATGGAAATAAACTTTCTCACTCAATCAAAACAAGAAAATGAAACTCAATTACATTCCTCTTACCTCTTTGAATTCAATTCAGCGTCATGGAACAGCAAACTGTGGAAATTGAATTGATTTGGAAAACAAACCACTCACATTGAATCGAATTGAAGCAAAGTTTGACAGCAACGAGAGATGCCGCAAATAGTTGGAGACAAGTGTGTGTGTATGAGAGCAACGGAGGTTGTGAGACAGAGAAATATTGCCGTTCATCGCGGCCAATACGTCAATGAGTACTACAACATGAGTGCGACTAATCCTTTTTGATTCAGATCTATAGATCCGTTCAATGCTTATTGATTGTGCGGGAATCTGAAAAGTTTTCTATTCAAATTCGGGCTTGCACATTTTTTTCGGCATTTTTTAAATAAATATTTTAAATAAATAAAAATGGATATTTTAAAATCATTAGCAATGAATGTCTTTGTTTTTAGTTTTTGGTTTCATTTCATTTTCAAAAATAATTTTTTTCTTCTGAATCTCCAAGGTCTTTCTGAAATCTGTTGTAGTTTTTCGATTGCTTTCGCCACGAGATTTCACTTTCAAATCGAAAAACGGATTTTTTTTTTAAAAATAAATTGATAACCATTGCGTATTATACGTTTGATATCAAACATGGAAACATTTACCGAAATCTGTTCTCTGGAATTTGCCTAAAATTTCCGACAAACAAATCATAAAATATCATTAATTATTATCAGAAGATGGATTAATTTGTCACACGTTACTCAAAAATTCTCAAAATAATTCACTCAAAAGTGATTCGAAATCGTCATGGGCTACAACTGATAAAGTCGTTGTCAAAGTTTCAACAAATTTTTTCTGCATTGAATACATGATAGTTTCAGAAGCACTTTTCGATTGGATTGACATTTCAAACCAAACTAGGTTATCTTGATTTCTGCGCACATATCTCCCAATTTTCCACATTTCTTTGATCGTTTTTTATAAAATTTTCATCACCATTGATCCATAGTGTGGAAAATCTGCTGAAAAATTTGTGAACCTTTTTGTTGTTGACGGTAAGTATTGTTCTAATTATTACTTCATTTTATGCAAATGAGCTGTCAATTGACTTTTTCTATTCCAACAAGAAGAATCATGTTTAAACTATGAAAAAATCCGTACAAATTGTTCATCAAAGCATTCATATGGTAATCTAAGTTGTGTTTCGTTTGTTTTATTTATATTCAAGAAAACAACGTTTGAAAAATCGATCTCTCATCGCACCATGGAGCGATCAGGCGTTGACACGAACTACTTAACGAAATTGCTACTTTGCCGTGGGATCAACGAAGACTGTTTTGTTGAAATCTTGAAATGGCTTGGTTTGGACGATTTCCTGAAAATATGTGATTTTGAAGACGAATCGGATAACGATAAATCGATCACAAATTTCATCAATGAACGTGTGATCAGCAAGAAACTTATCGAAGTCGATTGTGTCACATTTCAAAAAGTGGGTAGTTTTTTTTGATGTTCCACGAGATTTTAACGAGACAAAAAATTTTGTTGCATTTTTTAAAATTAAAATAACACAAAAAACCAAAAATGATCATCAATATTAAAAAAAAAAAAGAGAATTGATTTAGAAAAAAAAGAATCTCCCCAGCAGGGAATCGAACCCTGGTCGCCCGCGTGACAGGCGGGAATACTAACCACTATACTACTGAGGACTTGTTAATATTGAAGCCCATGCAACTAAACGATCGCATTGTTTTTGTTTGAATCTTCTGTCGCTTCTCATTTACACGTATTCACCTTACTGTTGTGCAAGACTCCGTATCAGAGCATGTGCATGATGAAAAATGATCAAATCTGATGAATGATTTACGTCGGATTGCAATTAATTTTCAGTGTCAATTCAGAAATTATGATGGGATTAAGTAAAGATATTTCAAAAAAACTCGAAAATTTATTAATTTTGAACTTTTTGTTTTAAACTTATCAGTTTTCCAATAGAAACACTTCTTTTGTTAATAACGATATTTTGTTACAAATAATAACGTTTTTTGAATCACCTCTGAAAGATGGAACAAGTTCAAACTATGAGACAAGTATGAGCTTTCTTCATTGAAACAGTCGAATGTGTTCGCACAGCAGTGGTTTACATTCGTCAACGACCATATCATGTAAAAAGCACCAGTTCTCGTCCGATCACTGAAGTTAAGCTGCATTGAGCATGGTTAGTACTTGAATGGGTGACCGTCTGGGAACACCATGTGTCGTTGGCACTTTTCTTTTTTTTTTCTTCGTTTACAAATTTACAGAAACAAGGGAAAAGTACAAATTTCTCAACCTAAAATCGCTTTATTTATCTTTTTTTTTGTTACACATACACATTTCTTTCCATTATTCCATTGGAATTTTTATTCCAAATGATTGTTTTAAATAAATTCAGTGAGCAAACTTGCGTTTGAAAATCAATATTTTTTCTACTTTTATACAAATATTTTGATTTTCGTATCAGAAATCGTTTTTGTTATCATCAAGTACGGTATTCGTTGGTTTTACTTAAGAATAAGCCTAGAAATTTTTTAAAAAAAAACGGAATCTTTCATAGGAAGAAGGCAAAAAAAAGAATTGTTTCAGGCAGGAATTGAACCTGCGGCCGCCCGCGTGTTAAGCGGGAGTGATAACCACTACACCACTGAAACCGCTGACAAAATATGGACGAAATCATGTATTCCGATTGGCATCGCTTTTATTCAATGATTTTGCATAAAGTGAATGGTATGTCAGTCAATTTTGAAATAAATATTTAGAATTGGTGTTAAATTAGAATTCAAGTCAAGTTGTTGAACAAATTGTTGGTATTTATGAGAACTAACAGATCCAACTTAGATTTCAATTAAAATGAAAACGATTATTTCTTATTAGTTCATGTTAAGCATGTAGAAATTGAATTCTGTTACGTTATTCAAACAATTTTTGAATGTACAATACTAAAAATTGATTCAATTCCTAGTTGGGTAAATATGACTTAGTTTTATGGATTTAACTATTGGATGTATGTTTTTCCAGCACACTCGGTGTTTTCCATTGTTTTGATTGAAATAAAAAAAAGGGAAAAACAACTATTATTCCAATTTTAGTCATTTTTCGCATTTTGAAGACCAAAATCGAATATTTCGCTCGCTGAAATGTTATGCAAGCAAAACAAAAAAAATTAAACTACACTTTCAATAAGATATGACCAATTTTCCTTTCATTTTCGTTCACTTCTTTGAACTGACCATAAATAAAATGATAAAAGAATTTTCCCTTCATTGAAGAAAACAAGTTTAAAAAAAAAAACAAAAAATTTTCGAACGAAAAATAAGAAAAAAAGAAAAGTGCCAACGACACATGGTGTTCCCAGACGGTCACCCATTCAAGTACTAACCATGCTCAATGCAGCTTAACTTCAGTGATCGGACGAGAACTGGTGCTTTTTACATGATATGGTCGTTGACGAATGTAAACGGCTGTTGTGCGAACACATTCGACTGTTTCAATGAAGAGCGTTCATGTTTGTCTCATAGTCTCATAATCTCTTCAGAACAGTAGTTTTTCAGAACGGTGATTCGAACATTTTTATCATTTGAGAAATCATTTGTCATGATTAGCAAAATGAATTGTCATCTTTGATAAAGATCTATGAATACATTTCCATTGATACAATAAATCACATCGCATCTTGCGTCAAATAAGAAACGGCATTTTTTTCTACACGAAAAATCATAGAAAATATCGCAACATGGCGAAATGCATGAAAATTATCCGGAATACAACAAAAATGCCTTAATAAAATAGAAAAACATCCAAAATGCGTCGGAATCATAAAAAATACTGAAAATTGGTCGAAAATACATGAAAATTATTTGAAAGTGTTCGAAAAAAATATCCAAATTGATTTCGTTTCAAAAGGAAGGCACTGTCTTCCGATAGCATCCACTTGAATGTAACAAAGTGTATTGAACGCACGCATGGAAATCGAATAGTCGAAACGTCAACGTTCATACTAACACTCTGGTGCGCGCTTTGCACATTAACGAAAACTGTGTACTTGTGCTATCACATCAATATCGCCATTTTCTCAAGCCAATTTAGTTTTCGCTTAGAATCGAATAAGAATTAAAGTTTTTGCCGTAAAAATTTGCTAAAATTGAAATTTCTAGTAGGAATTTGCTATTAATTGACTTGTGACCGACGAGAATCACCAAAAAATGTAAGTAAAAATGTTCATTGTACAGCAATGAGGCTTGGATTGGGTTTGACATTACGGTGTCGTTTCTTGGAAGAGATATTGCAAACTGCGCATTACTCAGATATTGAGTCGAAGATGTGTGTCGCTTTATAAAATCCATTCGTTTTTTCTTCCTCCTATTTTTGTTCAATGCAAATTAAAATTCGAATTGTTCGATTCATCATTTCAAAATCTAACCTCAATCGATTTCATTCTGCATTTCCCACCACCTCTTTCCATGCAGTTGCTTGTCAATCCGAACCAATGAGTAGAAGCAACAGCAAGATGTCAGATCGTCGCAACAAGCCAAACGACCGACACGAACCGGGCCAGGTGGACAATCGAAATTTCACGCCAATGGTGAAGTCGCTGTACTTAAAAGAAGAAACGGCCGATTTATTCTTCGTGTTCACCACAACCGATGACCAAACCGAACGTGTGCCGGCACACAAATTGCTGTTGTCAACCAGTGAAAAGTTTGCCAAGTTGTTTGCTGACGCTGAGGCCGGTCAGAACGAGTTCAAAATGAATGGTATACCGGTTGAAGCGTTCAAAGAATTTTTACAATTCTTTTATATGCCAAAATTCAAGTTGACATTCGAGAATATCGATGCAATCATGTCATTGGCCCAGGACTATGGCCGTGAAGAAATGTTGGTCGAGTGCAGTGTTTTCTTGGCACACAAATTGACCACCGAAAACATGATCTGGGGCTATGGTTTGGCTATCCGTTTCGATCGTGCCATACTGAAGAAGAATTGCGAGCTGAAAATTGCCGACAATGCCGAAGAGGTACTCAAGTCGAATTGCTTCCTCGAATGTGAACGTGATGTTCTGCGTCAGATTTTGCAACTGGATTCGTTGAAATGTATCGAATCACAAGTGTTGACCAGTTGTTTGCTGTGGGCCAAAACAGCTGCCAATCGAAAAGGCTTGGATGGCAACAGTACCAAAGTTTTACGCGAAGAATTGGGCGATTTACTGTACGAAGTTCGATTCAAGTCGATTGCAATCCAAAACTTTGCCATGATTGTCGGTTCGTTCAAGGGATTTTTCTCCGTTGCCGATCTCGAGGAAATCACCCAGTTGATTGGTCTGAAGGACTACAAATCCGAAACGTTCAACAGCAAGACTCGATTAACGTCCAATGGTAACAATAACGTCAATGGCAACGAAAACAACGGTGCTAACAGCGTGGCTGGTGGTGGTACTGGAAGTGGCCATACTAATGAAGAAAAGCACAAAGATGGAATCATGTACGCCAATCGATATACGGGCAATTTTGCGACGCGTTACTACATTCAAAAAGCGGAAAAAACCCGATTCGAAGCTCAAAAGTCACTTCGACTCGTTGGTATCGTCTGTGGCCAGGTATTCAATGCCAAACAAAACGATAACAAAGTGAACATCGATGCAAAAGTCACCGTCTCCGAACAAGTGGGCATTGGACAAAAACCGGTCGAAATTTTCGAAAGCACCCTAACGCTCAGCTCTGAAAAAGAAACGCACATTTCCATCTGCTGCCCAATACCCATCGAACCGAATCGAAAGTACGAGATTTTGCTGCAATTGGACTCTGCACAAGAACTCTACAATCAAGCCGAGCTCAAGGGTTTCGTCGAATTGAAGAACGGTGTTAAGATCCGCTTCCTGGGTGATGACACCAGAAGCTTTGACACTTCCAAATGCGGACTGGTGCAAAAATTGCTGTTCAAACGAGCCTAAGCCACAAGGACTTATGGTAATAAGGAAAATGTCTTCGAACATATCACTGTGTACACTTTTTACACAACTTTTTCTCTCAACATTACGACATTTTCCATTCAATCACAGTTTATCTTTACTTTTTTTTCATCTTCATCACTTTACATGTGATTTTTTTTTTCATTTTTAGTCGAATTATGACTTAGATTTAAAGAACTTTCAATTTATAAATAATTTTTTTTTTGAAGAAATTTCCATTTTTCATGACAATTTACGAAACGATATAAATGTAAGCAAACATTTCTTTAAAGTATTTCTGACTTTGCGCGAAAAGCAATTTTGATAAGATTTTCACATTGATTTGGAATATTTTATATGAAAATATCATTTAGATTCATATGATTTTGATAAAGAAAATCGCGTTTTGCTTCCAATTTTCTTCGTTTTATCACTTGAATTTGAATCGAACTAGTGTTTAACATTGAAATTTGTTAACAAACACTGAAGCTCAGTGAAAATACATATCGATAAGCGCATTTTGTGTCGGGGTTTTATTTCATAAATTGTGGAAATTGAACGTGGAATTCGTTTTTTCAGATGATTTTGAGGTGAATTTATTCAATGTGCTCAATTTTAGGGCGTAAGTAGTGCACTCTTTCTTACATCTTCTCAAAGGTAAGTCATCCTTGGAAGCATTACAACGTTATATGCTGTGAAAATGCTACAGTTTTGATCGTTGTGAAATGATCACCAGCTTTGCTTCCAAATCACTAATCGAAGCTCAAAAAAGAAACTCACACTATACAATTTGGTCCACTTTGTCGAAAGATTGTTGACAAATTACCCTGCTTTACTTTCTTGCTTTTATGGCTCTGTTTTTATGGTTCGAACCAGCGGCATTTCTATATTTGCCAAAATATCCCAGCGATAACGAATTGTTTTGCACCATTCTCGCTGGTACAAACAATCGAAAATAATCCAGAGATTATGTGTCACGTCGAACATTGAGAACATTTAAGGACAAAATTTCAGTGATTGGGCTGTAAAATGTGTTTCGGGAATATCCTCATTATCGGCTTTGACGAAATGTCTATGTCTGCATCGGTCTAATTACCGGTAATTACGATCCTTCAACGAAACACACAGTGCACTAATTATGTTACTTTTCCTAACATCAAACAAGATGTTAACCACGTCTCTGACATACTAGCATGTTAGTCGAAAATTTCTTGCAACATGAAAATATAAAGGTAGAACATAGAAGAACATAGAAGAAACATACAGTATATGTTTGAATCAGTTGCGTTTTGGCAGTCAAAGTCATAACCGGTTAATTCTGATCGATCTTCGCCAATTTTCAAGACGAACATTGCATTTTATAATAATAATAATGCACCGCCAAAGACTGGCTGTTTTTATTCAATTCTTATGATTGAAAAAAAAATAAAAATATAATAAATATTGTAAATAGAGCTGATTCTGCATAGCCGATTAAATTTGATAATATAATTAACTAGTTACATTAAATGGAATGAGTGATAAATAGACATTTTTCTGCTTATAGCATAAATCACATTAGGTTAGGAAAAAAATGCGTGCTGTAGGTATTAGCTAATGACTTTATCCTGAAGACAGTATCAGGAAGTTTTTTGAGTGACGATTTAAAGTTGTTGCGTGAAGACGATTGTTGAAATAATGGTTTAATCAAGTTGGAGTATGAACACATTTGGTTGATAGGGGCGGTTTTCGTGATACTCAATCGCTGGTCGATAATTTTAAATAAATATGAAATTCGCGTATTTCTTGCATTTGTATTTTGGATGACGAAGTTTTTTTAGTCGCGGGCAATGAATAATGTCATTGATGAGATCGTAGAA